AAAAGAAGTAGAGGAAAATGACAATAGTAAGGATCAGGAAAGAAAAAGCAGCAGTTCCCTGTTGTAGATCAGGCACAGTTATGAGCGTGACATGATGAATCAGCCCATTTACAAACAAGTCTGCTGTGCATATAAAACAGGTTAATTCCCCCCCCTTTGGGAATGGCCTAAAGACACTACAGTCAGTGGCACCGCCCCGGGGGGTACTAGTGGGTCTCACCTGATGGAATAATACATCACATTACCACTGACAGTGGCCCCAGATGAGCTAAATATTCATATAAACAAAAAATGTCCGTTTTCAAAATTAAAATCAACAATTTCCGACCCAGCACAAAATACTAAATCTTTTTTTTCTGTCTCATGAAATGTTCACGAGGGACAAAAGCCATAGTGTAGTCTCAGTTTTAGTCTCACTTTTTGGAGCTTGGATATTTCAACGGAATTCACCGAACTTTCTCCTGTTTTGAAATAAAAATGGGTGAACTGGTAGAGGTTTAACGCCCCGTCATCAACACTATTAGGTTATTCAAGATATGACACGTTTTGTGACATGTATGTCCATTTTAGATTTCGTGCGAAAATAGGGTCCCAGCATAGTGGCTTTACCCCCCCCCCCCCACACACACACAGATAAAGAGTTCATAATATTAATCCCCTACCTTACCACTCCTCTTTTCCTGCCGAGCCGCCTCTTAAATGACCAAATAGTGTTGATGGGGGCGTTAAACACAATTTCCCCTTTTTCTTCACTTCTCAAGCCGCCTCTTAAATGACCAAATAGTGTTGATAAGGGCGTTATGAAGGCCATTGACCTTTAGGGCAAATTGTAAAGTGAAACAATATTGTTAAAATTTTTGTTAAAATTGTTATTTAAAAGAGTTGTTTTAAATCGCAAATATATTTACACTGAATTTTAGTATGTTAGCATTTTAAAGTCTAATTGTCGACCAACCGTGCAGTGAACTGTTGCGAATGCTACCAACTAGTGTTTCGCGTGCTCATATGACCTTACGCAGTTGCGAGCGCCGTAAAACCCTGTACTACTACACCACTAAACCTACACAATTTTCCCTTTTTTCCCCTGACTTTTCCAGCCACCTCTTAAATGACCAAATAGTGTTGATAAGGGCGTTAAACCCACACCATTTCCCCTTTTTCTTCACTTTTCCAGCCACCTCTAAAATGACCAAATAGTGCTGATAAGGGCGTCAAACTCACACAATTTCCCCATTTTTTCCCTGACTTTTCCAGACGTAGCAGCGTCAGCCGTGGGCAGAGAGTGGCTGGCCTGTAGCTCGGCCGGGGAGAATGTCGTGGACACGTTCTTGTCCTTCCTGGCTGATGCAAAGTCTGGACATACCAGCTCTATGAAGAGGTGGGGGGGGG